ACACACACACACACACACACACACACACACACACACACACACACACAGTCACCACTACAGCTCTGGCCAGAGCAGTCATCTTAGACTCAAGATAAAATGTACTCTATCACTGTCCCCTCCTCTTAGGAAAAACCTCTTTCATAAAATAATTATATCAAGCAGGCAGGGGACGGATTGCTGCAGGCCCTACACTCTCTGATTCTCCATGCACTTTGCTGTATTTGCTGCAGACAGGAAAAGGAATGGCTGTGGGTAAGCTGGCCATTGACAAGGTAGGGTAAACAGCAGTCGTCTAGGGACTGTGGTGATTATACTTTTGGTGGTGGAATACAAATCTGGGGAGGCGACATCAGCGGTTCACTTGCAGGACCTGGAGATGGAACTAGAAAGCGACGCTAAGAGAAATGGCACCAAGCACAGAGGGCTGTGGCTGCCCGAAGGCTGGCTCGCAGATCAAGCCAGCCACGTCCCAGGGCATTCTGGGCCTTTCTGGGCACATGGGTCGCCTGAGGGTGACACAAAGAGCCCCGCTTTCCAGGCGGAGAAAGCCTCCTGCAGAGCGGCTGGCGGTGTCAAACCGCTGGCCTTGCAGTTCGCACTGGATTGCATAACGACCATGCTACCAAAACCCCAACCCCAACCCCGACTCACTGCCACTGAGCCAATTCTGCCCCTAGCGGCCCTGTGCGACAGGGCAGAACTGCCCTGTGGGTTCCCGAGACGGTTAACTCGTTATGGGCATGGAAAGCCTCATCTTTCTCCTGTGGAGCGGCTGCAGTTAACCGCTTCAGGAGAACCCCCACATCCCCAAGGACCCCACTTTAGAAGTACCGGCCAACTGGACCTGATGCTGCTCTTCCTCAGAGAGCACTCAGTTGACTGCGAAGTGTGCTACACTCCAGGCAGACTAAAAATCGAGACAGAAAAAGTAAAACGTAGAAACTTGGGAGAAAAAAATGTAGAACTTATTTTTGTTACTTATGGGAAGGAGAAGAATCCTCAACAAGAAAAATAACATCTGTTGCAAATCACACGCCTACACGGCGACAGGCCTTCCTCGTTTCACTGCGCTGTGCTTTGACAGTGCTGCCGTGTGCTTGCGAATGTGCGGTCTGTGGTATCCTGTGTCAAGTAAGCCGCTCATGACCGCTCTGCCCACCGCAGCCTGAGCTCACTGCCTGTCTCGGGCATCTTTTGGTCATCCTTGCAATATGTCTAACTTTTTCGTAATGCGATTGCACACTCGGCAGACCACAGAACAGTATGGACCTAACTTTCATGTACATTGGGAATCCAAAAGGCTCACGTGACCTGCTGTGTCCTGGTGGTCTAGAACCAACCCCGCAAGGTCTCTGTGGTAGGCTGGTCGTGCACCTGCACAAAGTGGGCAGAACAACTCCCTTTGAGGGCACTGCCTATGTCGCCTGTCACTCCCAGAGGTGACCAGTGGCCTCCTTTAGCCTCATTCAATAGTCCGAAATCTGAGACTCTGGGCCACACTAACATCACAAAGGTACATGTCAGGTCCAGGGAAGCCATGGGTGGAGTTTGGTAGTCCTGCTTAAGTGGAAAACGAACAAGCTGAGGCTGTGTGTTTGCTTGGGACAGGTCATAGCTGCGCCTGAGGGGGGTGGAGCTCTTGTAGGCCATCTGCACTCAAGCCCATCGCCCCCCCCACAGGCCAGGAACCGGTCACCCTGCCGTGGTGGGTCGGTCCCACAGCGTCAAACTCGGGTAAAGATGTCAGAACTGGGGTTGCACTGAGTCAAAGCACTAACCAGAACCAAGTGCCCAGGGACTCAAATGGAACACTAATGGAAATGTTTCAACAAGCTGCAGCAGCACTGAAAGCGCTCCGCGTCTAGGGCAGGAAATGTGGAGACAGCGACTTGGCCACCTGACTGAAAGAAATCCACTGCTGTACCATTCCAAAGAAAGGTGACCCACAGAATGCTCAGATTAGGGGGCAAGCAAGCAAACTACTACCACGTGCAAGCAGAGCGGCGGAAGATCATCCAGGAACTTAGCCTGCAGCAGGACGGGGACCAGGAGGACCCCTCTCCTGTAGCCCTGCGCTATCCACGATGCCGAGCGTGTCGAGCACCCCAGAGCTTCCTGCCCCCTCCTGCTAACAAGGTAACCCTCTTCTGCCCGCTAACACCTGAGCCAACACCCACTGCTCCGAAACCCAGCTGGGCCCTCTCGCCCGTGCCTCCTGGTGGCCACAACCTCCTTCCTCTTGGGCGGGAGGCGTCGGAGGGTAGAACTGCTGGGTCACGGGGCAGGGTTAGTTTAGGGGATATTGACAAAGAGTCTCCAGTCTGACCAGCCACATGTGACAAACTGCCCCTTGCTCCACGTCTTCACGAACCTTTGCCCTGTCTGCCGCCACTTTGATCTCATCCTGGTATCACTGCGGGCTCAATTTGCATTGTTAGTTAGTTGCATTGTCATTAGCATGCTTGTTAGCCTTTTGCACACGTTCTTTTTTGAAGTGCCTACTCGCGGCTTTTGTCATCTTTAAAATGATTTCTCAAGTTAATTTATACAGTGTGCATGCATCAGAATGAATACTGTGCTAGTCACAGGTTCTGGAAAGACAGTCTCCCACCACTCGTAGCTTGCCTTTTAATTTTCTTCTTGGTGTCTTTTTGGTAAAAAGACTGTAATTTTAATGCCATCCAAATGATTAAATTTCTCTTTCACAGTCCCCATGTCTTGCATTTTGTTTAAGGAATCTTTGCCTACTCCAAGGCCACGAAGGTGTTCTGATATCTTCCAGACACTCGGTCGTTTTACCTTTCATAGTCAGACCTGTAATCCATCGGGCATTAATTTTTAAGATTTGAGATGTAATTTACAGTGTGAATTAATTCATCCTTTTTCAAGTACTCAGTTTTTAACATACTCACCAAGCTGTGCAGTGACCAGCACGCTCTCACTCCAGAACATTTTCCCAGCCTCAAAACAAGCCTTGTACGCATGAACGGTCACTTCCCGTCTCCCCATCCACCCCAGCGCTCTCTAGAGCCTAACAGGAGTCCCTTGTACTTTCACTTGGCCCCCTGCTTCCCAGGTGCCGCTCGGCTTCAGCATGGAGCAGTACTTCTCTCCTTTTCTATTGCTAAATAACACCCTCCCGCCCGGACAGGCCACGGCTTGCTGCGTTCATTCACCAGCTTGTGGACATTTGGGTTGTTTCTACTTGAGGGCTATGATGAACAAGGCTGTCATGAACGAGTACATGGCTAAGGTTTTTGTGTGAATGTTTCCAATTCTTTGGGTATATAGTAGGAGCAGAACTGCTAGGTCGTATGGTAACTCTGTTCAACATTTTCAGACGCTGTGTGTGTGCGAGGAGCCCTGGTGATGTAATGGTTCAGGCACTCATACATGACTGGGAGGAAGGACTGGCAGGTGGCCTCTGGAAGACCCCTGTGGGACAGTCCTGTCCGGCTGCAGGGCCACTA